CGAGACCTCGAGAGCGAGAAGCCAGTATGGCCTTTGTCGTCTTACGGCCCCGCGAAGATGCAACCCACCCTCATTGGCAACCTGGATGAATCAATGGAGGAGATGCGGGTGAGGGCCACACAGGCGGCGAAAGCTGGGACCACCCAGGACTATGTACGTCTCCCGACTTCTCACTTCTCCGAGGACATGACACCGTGTATCTCTTCGATCCATGCTGAACGCGTCTTGAATCAACGTCATGTGGACCTGTTGTGTCCACGCTTGCTTCATCGTGGTCGCGTTCCAGTCTTGCGATGCATGCCCTGTGTCTGATTTTGGTGTCTGGTGGGACATCGCACATCAACTCAGTGGTTGTGAGCGTCGCATTTGAGTTCAATTCACCAGTGGGCGCGCCCCGGGAGAGCAATGCCGGGTTTCAGACTAGCTTTCGTCCACGATTTGTTGACTATCAACATGCTACGCGGAGTAATGTCTCTTGTCTCCTGTTCGTGTTCTTACCCGCCCGCCACACAGATCAAATACGAGGCGGACAAAACTGCCGCAGCACAAGCCCAGTTCACTAATGCCCGTGCCAATATGCAAAGTCTACACGCACATGCTGTTAAGAGCCACGAAGCACATACCTCGGGTGGCACTCCCACGCCATGGGTCCCTGGCTCGTCTGCATTCGGGAGTTCAGGAACATCCGCCTTCGGAAACACTGGCACCTCTGCGTTTGGTGCTCCTTCATCCTCTTCCGTGTTCGGGAAGCCATCAGGCTTTGGCGCTTTTGGTGGTGGGACCGGAAGCTCAGGCACCTCCGCGTTTGGGTCGGGTTCAAACAACGGTACGCCCTCCGCCTTCGGATCGGGCTCAACGAGCGGTTCCACCTCCGCCTTCGGACAATCAGCCTTCGGACAGTCAGCGTTTGGCCAGTCCGCGTTTGGGAAACCCACCGGAGGCTCAGCGTTCGGGCAGCCTGCTGCAGGCACCTCGGCGTTCGGTCAGCCTGCACAGGGCGCCACCACGTCCGCGTTTGGTGCTCCTGCGTCGGGGAATACAACATCTGCATTTGGTGCCCCTGCTCAAGGCGCCACGACGTCCGCGTTCGGTCAGCCTGCACAAGGCACCTCCGCGTTCGGGAAGCCAGCGGGCGGTCCCACTACCTCAGCCTTCGGGCAGGCTGCGTCCGGCTCGGCAACGTCCGCATTCGGTCAGCCTGCGTCTGGCTCAACTACATCTGCATTCGGCCAACCCGCTAGAGGTGCAACCTCTGCCTTCGGCCAACCCGCTGGAAGCTCAACAACTTCTGCGTTCGGTCAACCCGCCTCGGGTACGACAACTTCAGCATTTGGCCAATCTGCGTTTGGTCAGTCAGCCTTTGGCAAACCGGCCGGAGGCACGTCCGCCTTCGGGCAGCCTTCAACAAGCACGACGTCGGCGTTTGGCCAACCCGCGCAAGGGAGCACCTCTGCGTTCGGGCAGCCTGCTCAAGGAAGCACGACGTCTGCGTTCGGGCAGCCAGCTGGGGGGGCCGCCCAGTCGGCGTTCGGGGCACCACAGACCACATCTGCTTTTGGCCAGTCTTCATTCGGCCAGAGCGCGTTTGGGAAGCCCGCCTCGACCTCTGCATTTGGCTCTGGTGCGAGTGGGAGTGGTGGTGGCGCCTTCTCTGCCTTCGCGAATCCACCCGCATCTGGGTCAGGGAACGCGGGCCCGAGTGGGAGCAGTGGCGGCGGCGGGGCGTTCTCTGCGTTTGCAGGCGGACAGCCATCAGCGTTCGGCATGGCGGCGTCGAACAAGGCACCTGGGGGCTCCGTCTTCGGCCAGTCATCCTTTGGCGGTGGTGCAAGCAGTAGTACGCCGTCTGCGTTTGGCGGCGGGTCGACGGGCGCACCGGCGCAATCAGCGTTCGGTAACTCAACGAACACGACTTCTGCTTTCGGGCAGTCGGCATTCGGGCAGTCGTCTGGCTCATCAGCGTTCGGCGCACCGACGACTGCACCAGTACAGTCCGCCTTTGGCTCAACCTCGTCGGCCCCTGCAACTACAACTGATCAGCAGCCAACATCCGTGTTCGGCTCGCTTACCAACCAGCCCCCACAAGCACAGACTCCAGAGAACACGCTTGGACTTTCGGGCCTGACGGCTCTCCCCTCCGCCATGTCCACCACGAGCTCCGGTTCTGGGTCTGGCACCGGGTTCTTCGGATCGCAAAACCAGAACCAGAACATCTCATCGACGAGCTCGAAGTCGTCGAAGCCTGACTTTACGTCGGCACGGAAGAAGAAGTTCTACCGACCTGGCGCGACCAAGTACGACGACCTGCTGCCACCAAACTACGCCGACCTGGTGCCGAAGGCGGCGCTGGAAGCGTTCAAGAGCGAGAGCGAGAAGTTTGACTGGAAGAACATCCCGGAGTGGGTCCCGCCGAAGGAGGTGCGGTAGTGCCCATGCACGGCCCCTCCGGATTGTTCCCTGTTGGGTTCGCCCTTCTTCCCAGTCGAGTCTCCGAGATGTTAGGATGTTTGGTGTGCCGGCGGGGCGAGTCCGTGTGTACTCGCAGACACAGACACAGATTAAGATTCAGGGGGCAGTATTCTTGGACTTCTCACACACACTAGACCGTACACCATGACGCCACGCTATGCTTGACGACGACTATCACAGATTGGCCACTTGTATTGTATGTATGTACCGTATCATCAGATCATTATCCACTTGCGGTGTTCACCTTCACATTGTTGTCCACATCGTATCGGCGACCGCCACGGCAGGATCCAGCGTTGACGCTGTCACCTCTCTGACTTCAGATCTTTGTCATACTTCACGTCAATGTTCAACATCATTGGAATATGGCCACCTCTACCTACCGGGCACGCCGCACCTATCGGGCACGGCTCGTGGTGACCGTCTCCCGTCAGTCGACCGGGCTCGCCGGGGCCACCTCGACTGCGGCCACGATGGCATCTTCAGTGTCACGGTATATCAGCCCGTGTCACGGCGGCTCGGTAGGGTTAACCACGTACTCCATCGGGGATCCCGGGCTGGGCTCAATCCGCCGTGTATACGGCCGAAGATGGCATGTTTTGCCCGCATGGTGCTCGCTACCCACGAATGCATGAGACCCGAGAACATCAATATTGTCCCCATGACAAGGATCCGCAGTGCGCGACATGTATGCAGGCGCGTCAGCCTGCTCGATATATAGACCTCCTGCCTGACTCCTGCCATTGACTTGCCAGCTTATAGGCATGAAGTGCTCGCATCAGGCTCTCGGCCGCGTGGTGGCACCGATCCGAACACGTCCAGCAAGGTTGCTGAAAGTTTAATAGCAAGTCCGGGGTGTTCATTCTCCATTGACGTCCTGTTACTGGGCGATAAAGTTCTGCAGGTTGGCATGCAGCAGTCTGGATGACCGATCGATGGAAGATGTGAGTTAACCAATATAGGTGGGAGATGGGAGCCGCTTCTGCCGATTCATAACAGTCGTTATTTACAAGCCATTCATCGGGACTCTATTCCGTATGGACGCGGACCCATGGCAAGGGCTTCGACAAGTCAATGTTTCCGCCACTGATGATAATCCCAATGGCACCTTGGATGCCCAGCTCCTGGAATTGCTTATTGCGAACGGCAGCAAACGCCGCTGCGCCGCTGGGCTCCACGACGATCTTCATGCGCTCCCACATGAGACGCATGGCCTCGATGATTTCCTATTGTCAGGTCAGAAAGACGCACCGCACATGGCAGAACCACAAACATATGACACGCACCTCGTCCGTCACAGTGATGACTTTCTCGACCTTCTCCTGTATGATGGGGAAATTCAGGACCCCGACGGGAGTCCTCAGGCCATCTGCGATAGTATGAGCGTCGACGTCTGGTCTTCGCTTTCCCTCCTCAATGCCCCGCGCACAATCATCCGCGCCCGCGGGCTCCGCACCAAAGACGCGGATTCCTGTCCCGTCCGCAGCGAGCGCTGTCCCAGCGAGGAGCCCACCGCCCCCGACGGGCGCAACAACAGCGGCCAGTTTCTCCGGGACCTGCTCCACCAGCTCGAGCAATGCGGTCCCCTGCCCCAATATCGTATTCACAGAGTCATACGGGGGGATGAACGTCGCGCCGGTCTGTGCCTGCACCGCTGCTAGCGTCGCGGCGCGCGCGGGTGCGTTGGGCTCGCAGAACGTGATCGAGGCTCCGTACGAGCGCACCGCATCGATCTTGGGCTGCGCGGAATTGTTGGGCTGGGAAAATGAGGAAGGGGAATGAGTCGATCGGACTCGATGGTGTGGATAGAAGTTAGTGGTATGTGGGCGCGCACCATGACCACATAGCACTTGACTCCGCGTTGCTGTGCCGCCAGGGCCAGGGCTCCGGCATGGTTTCCTACCTGTGTCTCAGTAATAGTACTGCTTGCGGGGTTAGATTGGATGGGACAGGTACAGTACCTGAGCTATGCGTGCATACACCCTTTGCGAGTTCTTCTGGCGTTAAGCAAGATAGATTGTAGCTGGCACCTCGGAACTTGAATGCGCCCCCCTTCTGGAAGTTCTCCGCTTTAAAGTAAAGCGGGTTCTTTCCTGGAAGAGACCCAGATAGCGAAGAAGATGTGAGAGCCGGTGTACGATGTATCAGAGGCGAAATCGTCTTGTGGGCAGCCAGTACGGAACTGCGAGCAAGAGGGAGCGACTGCGTTGTGTTTGGGCCCATCGGCGCAACAAACGATTTACCTAGCTGTACTCACGTCAGACAGCAGAGCGTACTATGAGAAGGACTAGGAGAGAACTTGAAGTACGTGCACTCAGATCTAGAATCGACGATACACTTCGGTGCATATCATCGTGCGAATGACTCGGAGCACGCCCAAGCTGAAGGCTCAGCAAATAACACTCCTGTAATCAGTCGAAAGCAAACCACAACTTGCCCTACCACTCCTGCACGCTCAATAGAGGAGTATTAAAACAGTTCCCTCAAACAGAGGAACTCACAACCAAAAAAGTGTACTTCAACTGGGGACGTTCCCATTAGCCGACTCGAACGACTGACCTCGTCATAACTTGTGAACGACAAGTACTAGTGACGCGCTCTACCAACTGAGCTAAACGGGATACAACATTCGAGAAAGCGTATTTAATATATCAACATTATGACAAGCCCTATTCAGCCTGGGTCCTGCTCAGTGCTCTTCCGATCCGTACTCAACGATGTCAGACGTTCCTCAGACTGACGTCTCTCGTCCGTCTGCGCTGCCTACTGCGAGACTATTGCAGCGTCAGACACAGCCCTTAGTCGACCAGAACTCCGACGAATATCTCGAGGCGATCGAGGAAGAATGGAACAGACGTGTAGACGTCGAGGTCGAGACACTTGTGGACGGCATGGTGGACATTGTCGCGCTCGCTGGGGTGCGTGTACCACATGTTTTATATAAACCTTCTACTGACGGTCATCGCAGATCGGCGACAAGGACAAGTTCCGCGTCGCACAGGAGGCGTTCCAAGCGCAATGCCGCGCAGAGTCCATGGTGCGTCTGCTCGTCCCCCATCATTGCCCCCGACAATCCCTCAACTATGCCTTATACGCGTAGATACGCGCAGCCAACTCCCTCATGTCGACGATACACTCTATGAAGTTGCTTTTGTTGCTGTCTGACGAAGCGCAGATCGCCAAACGGCGCGACGCTGAGCTCCGGGGCGCCCAAACCGAGAAAGTCGATGCTCAGAAGAAAGTCGCAGAGCTGTTGGACGAACTTCTCCTATCGAGAAAAGCACACAATCATCAAGCTTAGCACAACTAGGTCTTGCCGCTCCAGCCTCCGCGGGGCGACTCAACAGGCCCTGCCACGCCCAAGTTGCGCGCCAAGAGCTATGGCTACTGCGACAAGATGGCGACACTGCATCCGAGGCACGCACTGCGGCCGAAGACATACCGTTTTGGCCTCGATGATGTCTCACTTATATCACTCGGCTGCATCGCAGTGGCGGCTCCGGGATTCCTGTGACTCCTCTAACAGACGGCGATTCCCCGTTTCTGCACCGAGATCTGGCGGCTCGCGGTCGATTGTCTATCATCCGCATTTGCCCCTCAGGCGAATCAATCTTTGGCTGAGTGAAACGCGCGAAGTGGGGCAAGGACGAACAGGCAGCCAATTTGCAGAGCATGCTTGCGTAGAGCAGAGAAGACGGGCTTGATTGAAGGTGAGTATGCTCGGACACCGCCACCAGCCCCACGAATCTCCATGCTGGCGAGGCTTCCCGGGCCCTGTCGCCGCAATGTTGCGAATCTGTCAATGCACGTGTTCCTGGCCGCTCCTCGCCTTGTACTTTTTGACACGAGAAGCGTCCGGAGGAGCCTCCCCGTATCGGTGGCTGTAGGGTGCAGTTTGGTCTAGATGCACGGCGGTGGTGGACCACATGGAGAGATGTCGAGGTGGAACTTAGGTCCTGAACAGGCTCAGGTCTGCGGTCTGTTCCCTGCTGTTCCGTTTGCAACTGACAGACATGCATATGCATACGCGTAGTGTGCATATGCGCATCTTTCCAGGTCTGTTCCAGGTTCCGCCCGAGGCCGAAAAGATCGCACGAGCGAGACCAGAGGTTGTGCGGCTGTCAATGTCAAGATTGGGCACCGCAGACCAAGTGACGGCGAGTTAACGTGTCAACTATGAATACTGACGAGTTGGTGCGTGGCCATTAATCAAGCCTGCCTTGAACCTGCAGGTGTGACGGTACCTCTGACCGCTGACAGGTCATTCCTCGCTGCGGCGTCTGAGAATCTGCACCGCGAAGCATCCAAACATAGCAGATATGACGTCCCTGACTATTTCGGAACGGCACGGGTACCTGCACGGTGGTCGCTGACAACCACCTGTACGCCCAGCAGTCGGTTCCCGATTACACATCCCAGGATCGACGTGTGGTAAGCAGCCGTCTAGCTATTGGATGTCCGGATAACCTCCAGATAGGCTGGGAAACCGTCTATGTGACATTCCTAACACCGCGGTCGTCCTCGTTCCGTCGTTCATCGATCCACTGCAGGCTTCAATTCTCGCCGCTTCTGCGACGTCCTCGGCCGAGTGGTCATGAGGACCAGTCCAAGACTCGTATTAGCCGTATGACGGGGCATGGTCTCTGCGCATGTGGTCGCTGTGAAATGGACGCTGCCAGATCCGGGCGCAGCAGATGCCTGTATCTGCGCCCTTGTTTCCGTTGTGGCCAAGGTTGAAATGAGTTTCGGCACCGAGTGGCGACCGCAGCAGCGCTGTAACTCCATGCAGACTCAGTTGCGCACGATGCGAACTCGTACGTCAGGTTTCGATCCCGTCGTTGCGTCACGGTGGCATCTGCTAGGTTCACGATATCTCCCGCAGGAAGCTCGTTGGACGGGTTCCTCGCCGGCCCCTTCCTATGGGCTTTCTGAGAAAGCGTTACATCAGCGCTGGCCACGAGGCGTGTGCATGCTGTGCGGGAAAGTTGCCTCACTGTCCGACCGGGACGTCTTTGGGTTCGCGAGCTCCGCGCCCAATTGCAATGCGAATGCAAATACCGCCCGAGACTTTGTAACGCTAGGCAACGGCAACGCTAGACGAACTCTGGCCTAGGCTGAGGTAACACAGCTTCGGATTGGTGAGCGGAGGAGCGGGATGACTCGAGGAGTCGCCCGATGGTCGAGTGGGCCTGTCACGTTCACAGTTGCGGTATGTTCATCATCTGCGATGTCGTGTAACACTTGACCGGTATGCGCCACGTTATTCCCGAACAAGGCTGCCATCCCTGATGTTCGCTGATGTGCGCGACCTGCTGGTGCATGACGCGAATGCTGGCCTCCATGACACGATGTCGAGTACGCCGTCGGCCGCGGACGTGGCTTGAGGAAATCGTGCCTCGAGGATGCTGGATCTCGTCTGAGCACCGCCGCGCCGTGAGTCATCGGGCGCGTCAATCTGGGCGTGGGTGCGTTTCGGGTGTGGACAGCTGGATCTCGCGCAATCTCGCACTCCAGTCTCCCGCGCGGGCAGCATATCCTGGCCATCATTGTAGGGCTGTCCCGCGCCGCGTATGCTCTCCGTCCCGCAAACATTCAATTTTGCAAACCCACCCGCCCCCGACACAGACTTCGGAGCGCAACCGTCACACCTTCCGGCCGGGTCTGTGCCCGCGTTCCTACTTATACCCTCCCCGTCCCGCCATCCACCCATCCACTCATCCTCACATTCCCTAGTCAAAGTCCCCGCGACTCCCTGCATCCTCCTTTGTCTTCTGCCCCCTCCGCCCCCTTTACACCTCGAACGCACTACTCAGACACAGCCATGGGCGGCTTCCACCAGAAAGTTTGGCTTATCACAGGTGCGTCGATCTCTGGCTCGCGTGGCCGTCGTCTGCCTGCAATAGCAACTCACTCCGCTTTCTTCTCTTCCCCCTGCAGGCACCTCATCAGGCTTCGGCAAGCGTCTCGTAGCCTCAGTACTCGCACGGGGGGACTGCGTCATCGCAACAGCCCGTAACCTCGAGAAGCTCCGCGCCGTTTTCCCCACACCCGAACGCCGCCTGCACCTCCTCCAGCTCGACATCTCCGATGCGGCCGAGCTCGTGCAGCAGCGCGTCAAGGAGGCCCTCGCCGTCTGGGGCCGCATCGACGTCGTCGTCAACAACGCCGGCTACGGCGTCAAGGCCGTCCTCGAGGAGGGAGGCGCCCTCGCCGCGCTCACCCAGTTCCAGACGAACCTCTTCGGCGTGCTCAACGTCACAAACGCCGTCCTCCCACACATGCGCGAGCGCCGCGCCGGCACCGTCGTCATCCTAGGATCCCGGTCCGCGTGGCGCGCAGAGGCCTCGGTGCGTGCTTCCCTTCCGATATCTGTCCACGAGCCCGGTCACTCATGCTGGTATTCTGATTACAGCCCGCCGGTCTCTACGCTGCGTCGAAAGCCGCCGTACACGCTGTCGGCGAGACATACGCCAGCGAGCTCCGCCCATTCGGCGTCCGCGTGCTCATCGTCGCGCCCGGCGCGTTCCGCACGGAGGGCGTGCACGCGTACCCGGCCACGATCAACACCCACATACCCGCATACGACGACATGCGCAACGCGGGCATGGCGCGATTTACTGCGATTGCGGGGCACGAGAAGGGCGACCCGGCAAAGGCCATGGAGCTCCTCGTCGACGTCGTCAAGGGCGAGGGCCGCGCAGCGGGCCGCGAGTGGCCGCTGTGGCTCGTCCTTGGCCGCGACGCGTACGTCGACGTCCGTGCGAAGACCCAGAAGCTCCTCGCGACGATGGACGCATGGGAGGACGTGGCGACAGATCTCGAGTTCGACTGCGACCAGTGAGCAGTGACAGTGGCTCCTACTGTAGGTGGCCGGCGTGGGACGCCCGCTGCCCCGGCTCGGAACTGCACCTGGCTCTGCTGCTGCGTGTCGCCCTGGGCTGCGGGTGTCAGAGACACCTTGTGCTGTGCCATGGGGGAGCGACGCCGACCCCGTGGACGTGGACTTGGACTTAGACTTGGACTTCCAAGGGTCTGGTCTGGACCTGGATCCGGACGCTCTCGACGGGTATTTATCCATAAATATGCTTTCGCTCGCATTGACGCCATACTCCGCATCGCACTACATCGTGCATACATACATATTCGCACCATATGCTCCTCTCTCGCATATCATTTCATCTTATCCAACCCCCCCCCCCCCCTCACCCCCACTTAGTCTCATGCATTGCCCCTTGCCTCACGTCATGCACATCGTCTCATTCGGACTCGGACTCGGACTTGGACTTGGTATCGTACTCTACTGTAGACCCTAATCGCTGCGCCGCACTGCACTGATTCGTATGACTCTGACTCCTCTGCATCTATCCACCCACCTGTAGCCATTACGTTCCTGCTCTCTCCAGTCTCAAGACCTCATCTCATATACATATCCCATAGCTTACCTCACTCATCGTTCCACGTACCGTAACGTACAATACATACATCCACTAGCTATAGCTGCGATCATAACTATAACTCTCGCGCTGTAATAATTCTTCTTTTTTTCTTTCGGTCGTTTCGGTCTGCCACTGCACATGGAGGTCCCTCAGGCCATGTCCCAATGGATGCATTTTGTTGATGC